GAAGGAAGGAAGGAAGGAAGGAAGGAAGGAAGGAAGGAAGGAAGGAAGGAAGGAAGGAAGGAAGGAAGGAAGGAAGGAAGGAAGGAGATGATATTCGAGACAATTTGATTTCTGCATCTCATATACATGCTGGGCTCAAATGGAATTGCACAATACCTGCATCCTTACTTAGAGCATTAAGAATAAGCAATACATTCTTATGAGAGAAGGATGATTATAAACATAACAAGAAATACATTCATTTATGAGTAAGACATACGACCTTACAGTAAAGTGCTACATATTTCCTAAAATAACAATTCAACATTGCCTGTCGAGTGATCTACCATATCATGTTTCCATAATGTTTATCACCGGAACAGCCAAATAGTATACAAAATAAAAAGGCCCATATTTGGCTTTCTACCCTTAAGGTTTTTAGGGAATATACTTTGGGTATGTGTTGTTTACTTGCTGGTTATATGATTCAGAAATAATATATTTTATTTAAAGATATGAATCAAACTATCCATTGAACCAAACTATCCTTATCTTATCTTTTTAAGCTGAACGGTTACTTCACGAAGCTGAAGATACTTTTGATTCCTGGCAATAATAAAATTTGTTATGGCTACTAGATTCATAACGTCATAAGAGCTTAATGTTGAACGTTTCTACTGCCCAAAGAAAGAATTACTGTGTATTTATTGACTCTGGAGAAGACAGAGTCTAAAATAATAAGGAGATAATATAAACAAGCATTAGGAAATAAGCCATGCAACAAATGGTTGATATTTACATGTCACAGAGGCGTCGGATTAACATTAAGGACAAGAGTGTTCAAATCTGTTTGTAATCGCTTCCATTTAAATAAAAACTAAAAAATTATTACATATGTGCAGTTTCATTTTCTCCTTACTATGTAGGATATTCAGTTCTTCAGTTCCACATGAAAAGGAAACTGTGGAAGTTGTCTATGCTGAAACAAAACATTGACTCCTTTACTCCTCTATGGAAAGCTAGCAGAGCATTAAAGCAGACAGAAAAAAAAATCAGTCTGTATAATTTCTCTGATTTTTATGTATCTGTTTTTTGTACTGTAGCATTCTAAAGAATCAACACTGACTTTCTGCCACAGGTAGAAAATGAACAAAAAAGTACAAAGACTCAAGTCTCTAATTTCCCAACAGTCTGACTTCCAAATACCTCACGCAAGGAAGGGCACTTAGGGGCAGAACTGGGAAACTCCTCTAAGATGCTAAATTTGGATTTCCACTCAACAGGCTCCCATGTCTGCAAAACTCAAAAATGGGGTATACGTGAACCTCCAGATATTGTTAAATTCTAATTCCTATCAATCTCATCCATTGTGATCAGTGATCGTTGATAAGATCAGCTGTAATAAAATACTGCATAACTGATTGGCTAGGGGCTCAGATATAAATAGCAATAGCAGACTTATATACCGCTTCATAGTGCTTTACAGCCCTCTCTATGCGGTTTACAGAGTCTATTGCCTATTGCCCCCAACAATCTGGGTCCTCATTTTACCGACTTGGAAGGATGGAAGGCTGAGTCAACCTTGAGCCTGGTGAGATTTGAACTGCCAAATTACAGGCCGCCGGCAGTCAGCAGAAGTAGTGCAGAAGTACTGCAGTACTGCATTCTAACCACTGTGCCACTGCAGCTCTAAATCAAAGACTGATCAATCCAAGGCAGCTTCTTTCATTCTTAACACTCCCATCAGTATGAGGCTTAGGTTGCTAGGATGCTAATGTCCGAGTAGGGAGGCTGGCCTTTTGCCTCGTAGCAATTGTTCTGTGGTTTGGTTTGAAACACATCTTAATATTTGATGTTTTTTTTTTGTTCATGGAATTTTGTGACCTAAGGAACTGAAGAAAAAAATAAGCCAGACCACTTAATATCTAATTAGCAGGCATCTCCTTCCCACTTAGACAAAACGGATTTAATCTGTCTGCTGTCTAGTACAGTGTAACCCATTTCACTTCATGTCTTTTCTGGTATTTTGACATTTTGTCTCGATGTACTTCAAACCACGTTCTCTCCCTCCATCTCCTGTTGAATAGGGAGGGGAGGCATGATTGAATGCAGCTACTACAAAAGGTTGACCCCAAATCTGTATATATTCGATTAGTCCTAATTAAAATACTGCCTGATCACTTATTTATTATCCATATGGATCATCCTAGTTCGCCGAGATTTATTTATATTCTGGTATCATGAAGTTTATATTCCCCCATGATACGATTTGTTCCAAAGAATCTGCAAATCATTTCCATATCCGAAATAATGTTTGACCAGGCTTGCAATAATTCATGAGCTAAATCTGGAAATGCTGAAAATCTAAAATTATTTGGCTAACTCTTGTCTGACTTGTAATATTCTCAGATGTGTATTCTTTTCATGAATGTGCCCTTTCTGTTGTGGGGCTGGATTGGAGAAGCAAAACCGGAAGTTGGACAGGGCAGGAAATACCTTGAGCAACATAAGTTCTTAGGGAAGTGATTTCTTTGAAAGGAAGCAAATTATTCTCAGCTAATGCAATGGCAGAACATTCTGGAAATCGTTGCCTGATAGCGAGCCCAATTTCTAAAATGTAGCCCTCTTTTACAACTCAGTTTTAAAACCCTCACCCTAAATCTTGCTCTCTATTTATAACTTGTACTGTAAGTCTGTAGTATTGATTGCAGGTGTCAGAAAGGAAGAAAATACAAAAAGAAGAGGGGAGATTTACCGGAAGGCCAGGTCTTCCTGTAGGACCCTGAAAAAAACAACACAGACACAGAACAAAGGAGATGATGGCATGAAGAACAATGGATCTGAATAGTGAAACAATTAACTGAGTTTGATCAAGAATGCTACAATGGTACTTGTTCATTCTTCATTGGCCTTTCCAGTTGAGCATTTAGAGGAAGCAAAATTACCAGGTTGGTTCAGCCAAGCTATTCCCAGTAAAGTAGAAAATGCTAGGCTAGTTCAATGGCTAATCTAATTCTGTACAGACAGTTTGATATGTCTTAATGTTCATACTAGGGTTTAGGGAGAAGTGGCGGAACAAGTATTTTGCTATGGCCAAAAGCCCACAACATGAAATAGCCTGCAAAAATAAAACATCCAGACTTCCAGTAGTCTTCCTTCCCACAAACCAGTATGTTATAATTCATTTTTATCCTGGAAGTGACTCACATTTGCATCAAATCATCGTATACTACACTTCATTTAATATTTCCCCAGACAACCTGCAGCTACCATCTACTAAATTACAGAGGGCAATAGAAGTCTTTCTTTTATTTATTTGAAGGGTATGTATAATACAAAGGCTTGGATGAAATGTGTTATTTCTAGAATCCAGCTGGACTAGACAATGATTTAAAACTCATGAATAAGTTTATTGACCAAGTAATCATCTGATATATAGTCCAACACCCTAAGCTTTCACTAAGTCTCTCTTCAGTAGATACATCAATGTTTCCCGTCCTTCCTTTTCCATCTTTACCTCACTGCTGCTATTTTTTCTTAGTCTAATTTCCTATCAGTCTCCAACTGACATTCATCCTAAATCTCCATCATGCGGATTATGCTGTCATTCTTTCTCCGCTCATTCTTTTGTTTTGAGAGGTTCGTTCTCAGCCCCACTAGGTGAAATCAACCGCACGGGAGGACTAAAACTATTCTAATGGACTCTTGCAAGTCTGATTGTGTTGTACCACTTTTTGTTTCTTATAGTCTGTGAATTAGGGAGTTTTGTGAAGGCAAAGACGATGTCCACAATCGCAAGACGGTTAATACTTTTATTAACTAAGTAACTGGCTGTCACGGTAGCCGCTAAACTGTTCAGATCGGCTGACAGTAGCAAGCAACCACTGGCGCTGTCTGACAGCTCCCTTTTATATTGCTCGCTGTCAAATGGCTCAGCCAATAGGAATGAACTTCTGTTCCCGCTCAAATCTGCCGAGCATAACAGGGAGGTCCCTGTCTAATCTACTAATCTAACTAGGCTGTTCTACTGTACCCCCTCTCCCTGCCCAGTCAGTCCTTATCGTGCATGTGCAACATCGCACATACCCGACATCACTGACTACATTCTCCCCTGCCCAGTCACTCCTTAAAGTATTTCTTTTTCTCCCCAACGATCAGCTGTTCCAATGATCAGCTGAGCCAGGATCCCCCTCGCTGTCTTACTGCTTTGCCCAGGAGGATTCCCTGAGGCCCAGGAGGCAAAAAGGAGCACGTGAGGGAGTGTAGTACATGCCCCCCCCAATGCCCCATTTTTTTGCCTTCCTGGGAGCAAAAACAACCCCCCAGGAGGCTTCCCCGAGGCCCAGGAGGTGCAAAAACTGAGCGTGTGTGTGTGTGTGTGTGTGTGTGTGTGTGTGTGCTGAAAAAAAAAAGAAGCCACGCTCACCCAGTCACATGGCCACGCCTACCTAGCCACACCCACAGAACTGGTTGTTAAAAATTTGAATCCCACCCCTGATCATAGGGCTAGAAGGGACTTTGGAGGGGGGACCCCTTGCTCAAGGGAGAAGACCTGTAGAAAAATCCTAATAAAAATAATAACAGTAATATTGGTCTCTTCCCAAGACCCTAGCAAACCAATTCTGAAAACTTGAAAACCCAAGAGAAAAGCACCCCCAATTCAGAACTCAGCAAGAAGAACATTAAATACGAGGCCAGGCAGGAACAGCCTATCGACTCTCTTTCTCTGCTACTGACTGGATCAATTCTTCCAACCCCCCGCAACTCTAGTTCTCAATAAATCCTGTAGGTTGAGGATTTGCTCTGAGTATTCTAAGCCTGCAACCCAAACAAGTCTGACTCTCAATTATTATCAGGATGCCCTGAATGCACCTACACGAAACATTTCCACCAAACCAAAAATAGAGCAGATAATAGACGTATGTGCCAGCCTAAGCCAAAGCTGGCTGAGGAATTCTGGGAGTTGAAGTCCACAAGTGTTAGTTGCCAAGGTTGGAGACCCACTGGTGTCAGCCACCTGTCCAACCTTGGATCCTTCCTAGCCAAGCACTTCTTTTGTTTTCTTTTGTGGCTGATGGTATTTGTGGGAGGGGAAGAAAACGAAGACTGCAGCATCTACCAGCCCCCATCTTTAATGTACCCTGCAAATTAGGCTGCCACCATTCGCCCACATGGTTTCTGCCAGAGGAGACTAGATGCAGATAATATATATATATTGCGTGCAAAAGGCTCCTGGCTCAATTTCCTGCCATTGCTCTTTTTAAAAGAATATATCAAAGAACACAACTGGGAAAGAATTGAAGAAGTTGCTGTTAATGAATGCAGGTGATTATGGAGAAGAGTCATCCAAAAGACTTCGTCAAACAATTACGTGAAATTAGAAAGGAGGAGAATGTCCTCCTAGGAGCAGTACAGGTAGTCCTTGACTTACAACTAGAATGGAGCCCCAAACTTCTGTTCTTAAGTGAGTTTTGACCCATTTTACGATCTTTCCCACCATGGTTATTAAATGAATCACTGCAGACAGGGCTGGCTGTCAGCTCGAATGGCTGTAGGAGGGGAGAGCTCCACAGAGGACAGCTGATTTTCTAGTGTCCGGAGGCTTCCTGAAAGCCGAAGGTAGTTTGGAGGGATTATCGAGAGTGGAAGAAACTCGACAATTGCACCTGGATGGCGGTTTGGGCTGCAGAACAGAAAAAAAATCTCTTCTTAATCCGGATGTGGAAGAAGACGACCTGTCATGGCTAAACTAAAGAGCTGACAGCCAGCCGGTAAAAAGCGACAATCTAGCGGAAGAATCGGTTGTGTCACAAATTGGCAATAGCAGGCTCCAACTCTACCTGAAAGAGGGATATTCCCAATATGGCTCAGGAACATAAGGTTGACTCAGCCTTCCATCCTTCCAAGGTGGATAACATGAGGACCCAGATTGTTTGGGGCAATAGGCTGACTCTGTTAACCACTTAGGGCTATAAAAGCATTGTAAAGCGGAATATAAATCTAAGTGCTATTGCTATTATAAGTCAAGGACTTCCTGTATGCTTGATGCAACATCTCCTGCCAGGCGTACATTTAGCACTAGCATTAAGGAGCTGTACAAGTGGCTGAATGAGTAACCACGTTTAACAAACTGTCGTGATTAACAACAGAACACTTCATCCCGGTACTATAACACTTAATATCACTACAGTTTGACAGCACTAGCACAATAGTAACTCAAAGCACAATGTACTTAGGCAATAATGAAGTTGATATAGCAGATTCTCAAATGTTTGTTCTTTTGGCCACACAAGTATAAAATGTTTGTTTCTGAACTCTCAGTGATGTTTCAAACAACCCATCAGTCTTAGTTGACCTCAGAGAAGTCAAATGCTTCTTTTCATCCCATCATGGAATATGTTGCTATCCACTTGAAAAGAAAAAGATGCATTTGTGAATCTAAATGGCAGTAAATGATTAATTTAGGGTGGTTTATTATTATTTTTTTGCTTCCTCATTTAAAAACTGTTTTCTCCCTTGCCCCAGGGCCCATTTACTTTACCAGCAGAGGTGCTCTTCATAGCAGAGTCAAAAGCTTTGGTACTTACGGGCGGTCCTGAAAGAAAAGAAAAATACGGACATAGTTGATATTCCAAATTAAATAGCACCATGGCTTTATGTAATGATGTTTCCACAACATCTCAATCAATCTTCATTTATAACAACCCAGATTTACCCAATGTATACAGAAAAATAGAACGGAACACATTTCAGTACAGCAGGATATATATCTGAATTATGTGAAAGGACAAAAGACCCAGGTTGTACTTCCTGAGTGGCCAATGTTACATATTTAAATTAGTGTGATACTTAAGCAATAGTACCATATCCAAGCTGAGGAGGATTTTAACACTCACTCAAATGCTCTTGCTTCAGCCATTTTGAAAGGCAAATACAAAGAAATTCCATATGCTGCTCAATTATGTTCATGTACTAGAACAGAGGTGTCAAACTTAAAGCCCGGGAGCAGCATCCAGTCCACAGGATGCTTCAATCTGGCTCATGGAAACAGTGAAGGATTGGCCTACAGTGCCTCTGCTAGTGAAAATGGAGCTCAGGTGGGCCGTATGCAGCCCTACTGAGCTCCATTTCCACTGGCAGAGGGTTGCAGGAGGCTGTTGAAGCTGAAAATGGGAGCTCGGGAGCCCATTTTCACTGGCAGGGTGCTCAGGCTACCACACAAGTGATGTCAAGTTGACCACACCTACCCTGACCATGCTCACCCCCGCCCCAAGGTCAAACACAACCCTGATGTGGTCCTCAATGAAATCAAGTTTGACACCCCTGTGCTAGAGAAACCGTAGAATCTACTGTCCACATTTATTGCAGTGCTGCTTTTATACAGATATTAGAATCTGTTTTATTTTCCTTCACCTGGTATACATCCAAGGTCATTCTTACACTTTATACACGTAAATTATCCTTACTGATCAAAGGGACTCTTCCTTTTCGGATGTTGCCAAATTCTGTTATGCTGCTAGTAAGACAAGGTTTATGTCGGCTGATCCCCATCTGTAATGGGATGTGTGAATGACCTTGGGGGATGAGGGGAAAAGATGTTGCCAAGGAAACAATCCGACGAGAGAGGGAGGAACCTTTAGCGGCTTAAAGGTCAGAGAAAGAAATGTAGGAAGGACCAGCCTCAACGGCTCAAACAATTAAGTGATGGTAGGAAGTCTCTACTTTTGGAATTACTTTAAGACTCTCTTAATGTAGCCTTACAATAAGATATAGACTTAGCCAATGTGGTCATATTATCTGTCTGCTTTGCCTGGAAGGGCTGACACCATCCCTCAGTATAGTATAATTGTGTCTTACTGTGCCAATACCAAATAAGAACATGTGGATAGATTAACTGGAAGCAGTTAAAAGGATGGTTTGCGCCAGAGGAAAAAAATGTATATCCAAAAATTTATAACTACTTCCTAAAATTTGATACAGAAGAGGAGGTAGTAAAACAGACAATGATAGCATGGATGAAAAATTTGGGATATACATTCAGTTAGAGGATTGGGATAGATTCTTGGAAGAGAAATTATAAGTTAACAATGGCAGCCCCGAATAGGGAAAACCTTTACAAAATGTCTTATTGTTGGCATCTAACATCATCGAGATTGGCCAAGATATATCCAAATTTGAGTCCAATATGTTGGAAGTGTAAACAAACAACAAGTACCTTCTTTCATATGTGGTGGTTGTGACCCAAAGCCAAAAAATTCTGGAATAAAATAAATATTTGGCTGCAAGAAATAACAAAGGAAAAAAGAGAATTCAAACCGGAAATGTTTTTATTAGGGATAATTAGAGGCTAATATAAAAAAAAGAAATCGAATATCTCATAATACATATTCTGAAAGCAGCGAGAATAACCTATGCTCAAAATTGGAAAGTGGTATGTAATCCCACAGATAATATGTTAATTTAAAAAATTATGGATTGTGCGGAAATGAATATAAGCTTACTATGGAGTTGCAAGAAAAGGAAAAAAGAGAATGCTATACAATCTGGGAGAATTTATAGACTTGGATAGATAACAGGAATAATAGATAATTTATAATGTAAATATGAATAATGTATATGTGTATGTAGATATGAATAATGGAAGATGGAGAAAATGATGCTACAATGTATTGCAAAAATTGTAAACGTGATTTGTGTTTTTTTAAAACAGTAAACTTTTAATAAAATTAATTTTTAAAAATAAAAAAATATAAAAGGATGGTTTGCGACTCAGAGCTGTGAAATACAACTTGATACTCTTTAGAGGATCTCTTCTCCTCTTACCTTGAATCATCTGATCTCTCTGTCCTGCCTGTTGTGGAAGAGTTGAAGCACAAGGTCACACTAGTCAATAGGAACCCTAACAGTCTACACCAGTGGTTGTCAAAGGGTGGTCTGGAGGTCCCTAGGTCACTGTCAAGAGATTTGCAAACTAAAATCCACACATATTTTTAAATGACTCCGTTTTATTTCTAATTGTTGTGGTTAGCTAGCAGCAGGTGCAGATGGCTGAGGAGAGCAAGGACTCAGATGAGGGGCCAGGACCATTAGGGAGTGGACTGCTGCCTTCAGAGATTGTGAGGGCTGGCAGCAGTGATGAGGAGGTTCCCAAGGAGCCTGTGCTAAGTGCACATGTGTGCAGGATTGCTTGCAGGAAAGAGCAGCTACAACAGCACGGGTGACTCGGGAGTAAGGCTGTAAGGTAATGGCCCCTCCTTCAAGAAGATAAAAGACAGCTGTGAAACAAATGTACTTTGCAGAAGGCAAAGACATTTTGAAACTCCAGCCTCGTGGACATTCCAGTATCCCGAGTTTGTGTTTGAAGATTCTTGTATTGTAAATTATTTCTTGTCTGTTATCTTTTGGCAAGTCTCTTGATTTGTTGGAAAAGGGCGTGGGTCAGAACACTAATGTAGTAAATATTGATAGATATAGCCTACATAATTTCTGTGATCATGTGGCCAGCATCACTATACACCAAAGGCTCATGGCATGTTGTTACCTTCCCATTGAAATGATATCTATGTACTTACTTTCATTTGCACACTTTTGAAATGCTAGGTTGGCAGCTGGCCACATGACCATGGAAATTGTCTTTGGACAAGGTTGGCTCCCTTGGCCAAGAAACAATGAGCACCATGCCCTAGAATCAGAAACCTATACCTTTACCATTGTAGCCCACATCACCAAAGCTTGTTGTGGTCATAAAGAGCTTATAAGAAGGCAAGGAGGTCCTAAGACTAAAATGTTTGAGAAATCCTGCTCTACACCATCAACTGCAACTAGGCAGAAGATGCAATCTAGAGTACATTCATACAGTATGTGGTATTTGTACCACTCCCAGATCAATTTCTTGGCATTAGGATCCCATACCATCATCTTTGTTGGGTGCTTCAGCTAATTTTTTATAGCTCATCTGTGATATGTTAGAGTCCACAGATGAGTCACATTTTAGTAGAAGCCCTACAGCTCTGCAGGGCTCACAGAAAAGTTATTTCCCTTTGATTTGATCTCTTACCTAAACCTGTCTTCCAGGTCCTAAGCTTTCTTTCCTCCCATGAGAAGCTGAAAAACCAAACTGAACAAAACCAAACAAAACCAGTCTAGTTGCCTTTTGGAAAAAACTCCTTTGGGACTACCATGACTTGGCTAATTGAGAATCCCCCATAGACATTAAGCACCATAATCTTCACGCCACCATCTCACAGCTGCTTTTACACAGATCATGGGAGAGTATCTTGCCAACTTTACAACTCTATTATAAATACTTAGAATTTCCCAAGCTGAAAAAACACCACATACAAGAATGTAACTGCTGGAAAGTATGGTGTTGCGTTCTATCTTTTCAGTTAGATGGTGCATTGATTGACTCTTGAGGTGTTGTAAAGCATTTCAAAACTGGTAACTATTTAAAATGCAGACAGGTTACTTGAAACAGTACCTGAGGATTGGGGAAAATGAAAATGATTGCAGTGCACAAGAAGCCTATGAATACTCCAATACTTTCCTGTAGAGATATGCTGTATTGTGCAAATTACAAGGAGGTCAATTGATCTTGTCATCACAGTTTCCCAGCTGAAAGGCTTCCAGATAACCTTAGACTTCTTCGAGAACTCTTTGGAAAACAAAACAAACTAGATGACAATTCTTGCAGTAGCAATCTCAGTACATGTGGAGGATAGCAAGGTACAGAATGCTAGTTTAGAGAAGCTTGCATTGGTGCCTTATAGGGCAAGAACTGAACAATGACCAGCAGCACAAAGGTAACAGGTCTTATAAACAAACAAGCAAACAAAATCTTTGAATTTTTCTAAAGTAGTTCGGTACTTTTTATTGTGATGCAGATATGCCCTGAGAATGCAATTGGAGACATTTTTAGAATGTACTTCTGGTTCCTGTTTCACTTCTCAATTCCTTCTTCTCTTCTCAGCATCAAATCCATTGACAATCCATTGTCCAGCTATTCAGTCCCTCCAAAATGACATCATGCTAGAATTTTAGGCTGCCTTCCAAAACCTTATCTGCTCCTTCCAGATAGCCCAACGTTTTGGAAACTGATGTGACCAGCAAAGTATTCCTGAACTCCTTCATCGTCTATTGCAGCAATAATAGCTATCCATCAGTAGCGGGCACACAATATGTGTTAACACATTTTGGTGGCATGCTTAACTCCCAGGACTCTTCATCATAACCCAGTTGAAATGTTTTCACTAGTTACTGAGCCAGCAGAAAACTGTAAACATAAAATTTGGTACCACCAGTAGCAATCTTTACAACGACCGAAACATTATATTAGTAAATGCTGTTCTCCTAGTAAGGGTAGGGTTTGGTAAATTCTCCCAGCTTTGTTACGTCAAAACATCTGCCACACTTTCATCTTAATGTGGATGAGGCTGGTCCTGGGCCTGACCCAGGGGTGGAATGCTACCGGTTCTGCACAGTTCTATAGAACTGTTAGCTCTGAAGAGCAGCAGACACCGAACCAGTTCTGTGTTTGCTGCTGTTTGGGCCACCCGCCTGCTTGGGCTCTTACCTGTCCTTTATTTCCTGCTTTTT